TTCTCCGTTGAAAGAATGCAAGCAAACATCGAAGATACGAGCGAATTAAAGGAATCTGGCACGGTTTCCCGAGAATCGACGAACACCAGCTCGCGTACTTTGCGCAAACGTTGCGGGTGCTTTGCAAAGACATAAATAAATGAACCGGTAAGAAGAAAATCTCTAGTGGCGATAAGCTTTCACGACTCTAGCTCGAACTGCAACAATCGTTCACGCGTGGCATTCGTAACTATACTCTGGAATTTCGGCCGTCAGCAGCGTGTGATAAAACGAAATTCACCTGCTAATCGAGTGGTTTCAAGTCGTGTAATTGGCTTGTGATTTCTAAGTAAGTTGGAAATTATCTACTGATCCTTTGGAGTTTCAAAGCGGCCTAGTCCAGAGCCTAATCTTTCAATACTTTACTCTAGAGTTGGCTAACTGGCGGCTCGCGTAGTGGGGAGATCGATGCAGTGGAGGGGGTAGCTCTAGCGATCTAGAAAGTAGGGATATGGGTTCGCCAGTTAGCTCTGTTTTTACTGTAACGTTCATCGAATTCATGGAGTTCAAAAATGTAGAAAGACTGTGTTTTGCCTTCTTTTTTCAAATTTCATGTACGTTGAATTTAAGAATGATTTATGTATGATACTTCGTCAAGTATTCAATGACTTTTGTTTTATTTCAGTTGGGCATTGATTTAAAACATCAAACGTGCCTCGTTTAGAATACAAACACATTCCTTATAAAATTAATAATACAATGAATAATTGAGTTTCTTTAATTTTTAGCTTCAATATCGTAATAATAATATATTAATATTATCATTGTTACCATATAATTATATTATTTTTCATACTTTATAATACAATGGAATTTTCAATTCTGAATATTAATAAAAATTCAGTACGAATTAAAATATTAAAAAAATTGTGCACTAAATATACGGAAAATAATAAAAATGAACTAGTTTCAAGAAGAACACGTTTGATAAGTATCAAATTTATCTGAAATAAAACAAAAATCACGTAACTTGAATTTTTAAAAACTACCCCTATCACAGTACTTTATATAAACTTCGAAAAAGAGGAGAAACGATATTTTTTGATATTACGTCGTTGTACTGTAACTGTAACTTGTTTAATTTCCATCGGAAAAATATACAGATCGCTGTGTGAATAAATTCAGCAACCGTTCAGGGTATTTTTCTTTTGAAAACGAAGCTCTTCGAAGTTTTAAAGAGGAACGCTTTATTTGATTTTCATCGATAAAAAAAAAAAAAAA